CAGGCGATCGGGACGGCCGGCTGTAGGGAAAATGACGGCTGATAATTCGAGCATTTCCGAAATGGCGCCTCAGCAGCTGCTTCACGGGATGTGCAATGTGCGGAGGAGCGCCATCTTGCATAAAAATGATTTCATCCACATCCACGCTGTGCAGAGCTGGAATCACGTGGTTGCGCAAAAGAGACGCATACCTCTGACCAGTGACGGTTGCAGTACAGGACCGGAAGCCCGTCTGTTCGAAAAAATATGGTTTTAGGATAAATGATGCCGTAAAGCCACACCATACCGTGACCTTTTCAGGATGAAGTGGTACGGGGTGCGTTGCCAGTGGATTTTCTGTTGCCCATATTCGACAATTTGGGTATTCACGTATCCTGTCAGATGAAATGGGCTTCATCTCTCCAACAAAATTTTCCACGGCCATTCATTATCCACTTCCATGTGAGCCAGGAATTCTAACGCAACGTCTCCCTACTGTCAGGTCAGGCGGAAGCAATTCCTGCACATGGCCAATTTTGTACGGATAGCATTGCAGGATGTTTCGTACAATTTTCAGCACCGTGCTCGTAGGCCGTCCAATGTTCGTTCATTCCTCGTGCACTGCACGGTTGCACACCACCGGCCGACCCCTCCTGTAATGCTGTGGCCCTTCTCAAACTACCGTCGAATGCACTCGTTTTTCTCCTCTACCAGATTGCACATCAAACGAACTGTCGTTTCGAATTTTTGCATCATTTCTTTAGACCTACGACACTCATTGGACCAACGCTTTCTTTTATACCCTTCAGTGTCCTAAATTTTTGCAGAGCTACTCTGCACAATCACATTCTTGTAATACAGCTTTACCAGCAGACCGCGGTCCTGCAGTGAAACACCCATGGCGACGTCTGAGACGCGAATGAGGAACAGCCTGGTACCTGGCGGCTTATACACTGAAATTTAACTAACATTTTAATTTGCCTTCTTCCGCTTGCAGCGCCATCTTGCTAACTTTTGAAACTAAACTGCCATACGCTTTCGCCTTCTTCAACTTCCTTCAAATTTGGCGTCATTTTCATGAGTGGTTCTTTTCTATAGCGTTTTGAAACTTAAACTTTAATTAATCACCCTGTATATTATGATACATATGACAATATTACGATTACATAACATATTACATTATATATTATGATACATATGACACTATTACGATTACATTACATATTACATTATATATTATGATACATATGACACTATTACGATTACATTACATATTACATTATTTATTATGATACATATGACACTAATACGATTGTATTACATATTACATTATATATTATGATACATATGACACTATTACGATTACATTACATATTACGATACTTGGCTTACGTATTAGATAATGTACTACATATCAAATTAACAGGATAGTTTATCAGTACATACTACACTACATATTTTATATTGCGATACATGGTTTACACATTACATTATATTCTACACATCAGATTGACAAGACAAAATAACGCCTTACCTTAACATTACATTAACTTCCAAATACTTATTACATTAATTTTCTTTCCTAATATACCGTATACTGGTAACAGATACATTATCATCAGATTGTAATAATGTTGTTTTGCACTGGCTGCGCATTCAACACAAGATGCGCATTAAATATACACAGGGAAATTAGTGATACGTAGGAAAAACATTATGCACAGAAGGGTGTATATACATGATGCGTGTTAAGTTACACGCAGGGAAATTTGTTATGCACTGGTGAAACATTATGCAGGATAAATTATACTGACTAACTTATACGAAAGTGCATATTACATTACTCCTTATAATTAAGCCGGTAAGCTTTACAATGTTATTCTGTACCGAAGTTCTTTACACTTATAATACATTGCTTAATCATTACATTAATATATTTACCATGTACAAAAACATATAATGGATTACATTAGCATTCCTTAATATACATAGATTACTTTGCATTTACAGTTAGCATATTACTGCAGAATTTTGCATCTGTGCATTTCTCCATTACTTACATTTCGCACCTTAGAATAGGTCGCGGTATATGGATGTGATGGTATTAGTACGCGTAGTACATGAACTGTCCTGCATTGCGTAATTTGCCAGTATTGACACGTTGCTGTTCTGTTGAAGGCAGTTATACGCGCTGCAAAGTGCATAGTTATATGCACGATAACTGACCTCAGTGCGTAATGTTCATTACTGACTCAGTTCATTTGCATTATTTACAGTTTTAGTTTGTGAGCTGCTCGTAGCACATCATGCCGATAGTTTATATACATGGAGTTTGTATGACATGGTTTTTAATTTACACGATACATGGCACATGGTAAATGGCGTTGCACACTCCACCTTGCATTTGCATATCATATCTTAGCACGTTTGCTTTAGATTAGACATAAGTCTGTGCCCACGTTCATGAGTTTATCAACTATCTTGTTGATTTTTCGGACAGTACGTTTGTCTTTAACCATAAATCTGCAGAAAGCCTGCGTGTTTGTAGTTGGAATTGGCAGGTGCAGATCTGCTGTAAGCGGGCATTGGGTAACATAATGATCTGGGGTGCCCATCTCACCACATATACAATGTGCATTTTGTGCGATCCCGTGTTTTTCATAGTACACGGGAAAAGGACCGTGTCCGGTAATGTATCGGACCATTTGTGCATGCACTATGAGACGGTCTGAGTCTACCGTAGGGACGTGATAGTGAGCACGGCGTCCTGTCTCACCAGTATCCCATTCCTCCTGCCAAACGGATTTTGCCTTGTGTTTCAGACTTTTCTTTAAATATGAAACTGGCCAAGGGATGGTGATATGTTCCGCATTGATGTTTCTTGCAGCCTCCTTTGCAAGTTGATCTGCTTGCTCGTTTGCTCGTTCCCCCTGTTGCCGACGTGGGCCTTGGTCCATTCTATCCTGGTGTTAAGATGGCTGTGGTCGCGCAGATGTGTCTGAATCTCTGCAATCAGTGGGGAGCTGTGCACAGGGTTCACAATTGCATACAGGGAGGAGAGGCTGTCTGTTATAATGAAGCTGTCTCTTTGCCGCTGTTGGATTATCGTAAGTAGAGCTTGTTTGATGGCCATTACTTCACTCTGGAACACGCTGTTGTTTGTGTCCAGGTGACCTTTCCATTGTGCTATTGTGCTTTGCTGTCTGAGGGCAACATAGGCGCAACCTGTATTTTCATCTAGTTTTGACCCGTCGGTATAATAGACTAGATCATCTTCCTTTACATTGGTGTTTTGCTTGATGCTAATCTTTACTCCCTGTCCCTGCGTTGAGGGGTGATCGGCAAGGCGTATCATCTTTTGTTCAAATTCGGCTGGTGAGTATAGCTCGTCTCTGAAGGTGGTTAGATTGCCAAGTTGAGTGATCTCCTGATAGGCTGCTTCCTTTTCTACGCTCAGATGGAGCGGTAGCAATCCCGCTAGTACGCATAACGCATTTGTAGGGGATGTTCGGAAGGCCTTGGTGACATTCAGGAGAAAAGGCCTTTGTATGCTAAGTAGATGCTTGACTTTGCGGCCCTGCATAGGCGCTGACCAAACAGCCGCTCCATAAGTTATAACTTTCTCGGCTACTGTTGTGTAAAGCGTTTTCTGGATATAGGGATTGAGACCCCATTTATAGCCCTGCATATATCTTAGTTGTTGGGCTAATCTTGCAGTTTTCTTTTTCAGCTCCAGCACATGGGGATCCAGTTTAATTTGGTGTCGAAGAGGATTCCTAGATATTTCAGCACTGGAGTGATGCGGAGGCGATGTCCGTTTAAAGTTATCCTTGGCTGTCTTGCCAGCGATCCGCCTTTTTTTTGGGACGAGCAAAATTTGAGATTTGGCCTCTGCTATTTGAAGTTTTAGGGCTGTGCATCTTTCCTGAAAAAGGGAGCAGGATTCGATTGCATTGGCCTGGAGCTGTTTCCCTGGTCCTTCTTCCTTTGACGATTAGGGCTGTATCGTCTGCGTAAGCAATGATCCTTGTATGGTCAGGCCATGGGTTGTTGAGGACTCCGTTGAAGGTTATGTTCCATAGGAACGGTCCGGCGCATGAGCCTTGCGGGCATCCCTGTGTCTGATCTTGTTCTATAATTCCGCTGTTATGTGGAAGGATCAGCCGGCGGTCCGCTAAATAGTTTACGATGGTGTTGTAAATATTGCTTGGGCAGTTAGCGGTTCGTAGAGCTTGTAATATTGCTGGCCACCACAGCGTATCAAAAGCGCTCTTGAGATCTATTGAAATGAACGCTGTGTGGTAGCCAGAGGATCTGTTAGCCAGTATTTGGTTTTTGACTTCCATTTAGGGCATGTAGTGTTGATTTTCCTGGGCTAAAGCCAAATTGAATTGGACTCAGGAACCGGGTTCTGTGCAGATGGTGTCTTAGCCTTGTCATGAGTATCTTGAGTATCTTTTCGAAAACCTTACCCAGGGTAGAGAGTAAGCAGATCGGTCTGAATGACTCTGGTCTCGTAGGATCTTTGTCCTTCTTCAGGAACAAGACTACATGACCGATTTTGAAACACCTGGGAAATGTCCCGGTACGAAGAAGCTGATTAAATAGCAGTTGGAAGATGTTGACATTTGTTCGCACTATTAATTTTATTATCCGGTTGTCGATGCCATCTGGTCCAGGTGCTTTACGCTGCGGAAGCTGGCGCAGGACCTGGAGTATTTCTGCAGTTGTAATATCAGGGTCATCCATGGTATTTATTTCAAGAGGCTGGTTTCGGACGATGGTATGAAAGGCTGTGTCTTCCTGTCGGGTTGTCCTTGGTGAAGACTGTCCTTAGGATCTCTGATAACGTAGCCTCCGTGAGGATGGTCATTAGTATTTGGCGTTGGCTGGAGGTAGAGAGTTGCCGGTTTGAAGAGTTTGCCAGCTGCGATTTTGTGGTGGATACCAAAGGTGGTCGTAGTTTCTGTGCAGAATTTTCTCCAGCTGCTTATCTTAGCTTAGCTTCCAGAATCATTCGCTTATAGAGTGCTCGCTCCCGTTGGTAAATGAGCAGGGTGGAAGGTTTCTAGGTTATGTCTGCGCTCTTGCTTTAGGCGTCGCCGTAGAGCACGACACCGTTGTTGTTGACTTCGAAGCGTGCCATTCCACCAATTCAGCGTTGTGATTCTTTTGGCCGTGCGCAGGGGAAGATTTTCATCACATGCCTTCTTGATTGCGGTTAAGATGTCTTGGGTGAGGTTCTGGAGGGCCTCTTTGCTGTTGGCCTGTCTTATTGCGGTTGCAAAAGGTGCCAGACGGGCTCTAATGATGGCTGTGAATGCTCGAACTTTCCGTCCAGGGAGATTGTACCGTTTAAGAATAGAGGTGGCTGTGCTATTTGCTAGATTAAACCGTATATAATTATGGTCGGAGATACTAAGGTTTTCGACGACTGTCCAGTCTTGCAGTATGGGTGCCATCTGTTGGGTGGTGATGGTAAGGTCTGGCCAGCCGCGCGAGTGTAGTCTATTGAATGTAGGCGGTGCATCCGAACGATTGTGAATTACGAGGTTACTGCTGTGAACAAAGTCCTCGAGTATGCGGCCTTTAGGAGCTGTGATTGCATAGCCCCAGGTGGTGCTGTGTGCGTTAAAATCTCCAGCAAATAGTATGTTAGCTATTCGGTGCGATCTCATCAATCGTTGTATGCGTTCTAATGTGGGGTCTGCTTCTTCTGTTGGTGGAGAGTAGATTGAAACCAGAACCACTGTTAGATTTAGTACCTCTAATAGTATTGCTACAAAGTCCCTTTCGGCTGCTATCATTAATGGTGACCATTTGGGGTTGCAGTTTGCTATAAATGCTCTTGGTGGTTGATCGATATCTTCTTTTTGATAAATGCTCCATTGTAAGGGGAAGCCGACTACTTTACCATTCCTGCAGTATGGTTCTTGACCTAAGATTAGGTCTATTCGTTCCTCTGCAGCGTAGAGAGCTGTCTGCGATGTTGCTGCACGTGCATGCTGTAGGTTGATCTGCAGGCACCTGGTTTCTGATTGTCGTTCCGACTGCATTATGTTAAGTGCATCCTTTGTCGTTGATGGAATCTTTCATCTGCTTACTGTTTTCACATAACGAGGTCGTGCAAGCTGGTCTGTCATTAATAATCCGTATTGCTGCGGATTGTATCGACTGCCCGCTGGTAGACTGGGCATTCGGTAGCATAAGTCGGGTGAAAGAAGTTGTATCTTGTGCCCCATCTACAGTTTGAGTCCCCACAGTTAATACATGAGGGCTGCTCAGCTGTGCAACATCTGGTTGGATGCGGGCCGGAGCAGAAGCCGCAGAAGATCTTCTTTGACCTGCATGCGTCTTGACTGTGCCCGAACTGCTGGCAGCGATAGCATCGCCTGATGCCAATGAATTCAGAGATGCCATGGGATTGCCATGCAGTGAAGATGCGTCGGGCTTTGGTTGCGGCGGCAAATCCTTCTGCTGCGCATTCGATAATCCACTTGACTGTCTTTGGTCGCCTTTCTTTAAGTCGGTATAGCGCCTTGTAGAGCTTAGACGATGTTCCCGTTGTTGTACTAAGCTCGGAGATGATCTCCTCCGGCTTGGTGCTCTCAGGAACGTTGTGTATGGCAATCCCTCGGTCGTCGTCGTTGGCGTCTCTTGACGTCGACATCTATGTTGGCTTTTTGTATATGCTGTTGCAGTTGGTCAAGTTCCTCTGCTGTCTGGCAGAATACCTCTAATCCTCCTTGTGGCGTAGGTTGTGGATCTTTTCCACTGTGACTGGGATCTTTGTAAGGGGAACTTTTGCTTGTAGTTCTTTCCTTAGCTCTCCAGTGGGTTTCTTAGTGATGGGCTTGATTATGATGCTAGGTATTCTGGATTTACGCAATACCTCAGCGAACGTCGGAATGGAGGTATTGGACTGCGAAGTCAGAGCTGGTTCGCTATTGAGCTGTTGCACAGGGTGTGTGGAGGCGTGAACTGCTTGACAGCACACAAAGGTAGAAGTATTAGTGCCTGTGTCTTCAGTTACTGGCTTTGGTGCGTATGCTGGTCCTGCAAGTGCTAATTCTTGTAGGACGTCTAAGGACTTTTCCAATTGCTCCCTTAAATCTTGGGTTAATAGGAATTTTATTTCTTCGAAACGTTGCAGAGATCTGCCGAATGTTTCCTGCTAGGACGGCTACACGTTCTTCGTGCGATAAGTCCGATGCCAATAAAGCTTCAGGATCTAAAATGCCTTGCGACTGGGTATTCTCTGTGTCGGTCGGTTGAAACGAGGGACGCGACATGTCAGAGCGGATTACGTTGATTCTTGAAATGCACTGATTAAAAAGGCCCTTGTTATGTTGGACACTAAGGTATGCAAGGTGGGAGAATGCGTGATGTAAGCACTTAATATCACAGTGTGGCACCACCAGTCATATGCTTAATTTGTGATATCACAGGACATTAAAGTAAGTGAATCGGACAGTGAAGATGCGACATCAAGTGGTGAGGATAGCAAAGTTAGTAAATAAGAAAATGCACTTTGAATGTATGCAGGAATGTAATTTCACAAGTATGATAATAGGTAAATGGGTAATTCAATGCAATAAATAACAACAGTATTTAATCAATTCAATACAGAAAAGCAGCAGTATATATCTTGACATTCCCAGGAGATATGCCAGAGGCTCGGAAATGAGGGTGGTGAGTACTGATGCGCAAGGTCCTACGTTAAGATGGAAAGTGGGGGAGAATCTACGGAATAATTAGTTAATGTGTTTTAGGGTAAGTCAGGAGGGCGTAGGGCTATAAGAGGGAAGCTGGTTCTGTAGTGGAGTTTTGAGACTGTTACGGGTGCTTATTAGTGGAAATTAGAAGTGAAAATGAGAGACAAGAGGTTAATTAAACTAATTGAAAAATGTATTAATTAGTTTAGGATTGAGGGGATGGTGGTAGAATAAAGCAGGGAGTTTGTGTTGGTAAACAGAAATGGTCCGGTGGAGTTACTACTTTTAGTTGGGAAGTTGGAAGAGAAATAAAATGCTAATTAAGGAGTAATTAAAAATAGGGAGAAAATAAATTTGAAGGGAGGTTCTAAAGTGTGTTAATATTGTTGAAAACCTGAGGCCAAGCTAGAGAGAGAGAGAGAGACTGAAAGAATTACAAGACTAAGTGTATTAGGAGGGAAGATATAGGAGAAATAAAAAGTAAAAAACGGAAAATAAAAAGGTAAAAAAAAAAATAATAATAATAATAATAATAAAATAAAATAAAAAAAATAAATATTAAAAATTGAGGGGAGGGCTTGTAATTTTGAAACTATTGAGTGATAGGTTTTCGGAAAGGGGAGAAAGAGAGGATTAAGAAATTTTAGGTTTGGTTAGCATCTGGGGGTTAGGGGCTAAGAAATAGGAGAAATTAAGTGAAATTAAACGAAATTAAAGTTAATAAAAAGTATTATTGAGGGGTAACTAATAGGAGAGACTTAATGAAAGTTATTTATTATTAAAAGGGAAAGACTAAGGGGATCTTTTATTAGAGTTTGGTGTGTCTAGTACTATAATAAAAAAAGGGGGCTTAGGACAAAAAGTCGAGATTTAGGAAGAAACCTCTGGTGATAATTATAACAAAAGTTGTCTATTTACTTTGTCCGACTCCGGACTTAGAAATTTTTGTAAATGCTGTTGCACACTATACAATACATGATAGCAGACACAGTATATAAAAGCAAAAATTTCAATGTGAGATCAATGTTAATAGCAATTAAGTGCAATGCAGATTTGTCCGACTCCGGACTTAGAATTTTTGTAAATGCTGTTGCACACTATACAATACATGATAGCAGACACAGTATATAAAAGCAAAAATTTCAATGAGAGGTCAATGTTAATAGCAATTAAATACAAGGCAGAAGTTATATCCGAACTACATGGACGGAGGACCTGCGCAGCTACTGCTGAGATTTTGGCAGGGTTGGCAATATGGCCGTCCTGTTGGGGACTTAGAATTTATCTAGATTGTGCCGGCAGTGAATTAAGACATACAACTATTACAGATGCACATAAAAGAAATATATGACTCTATATATATACACATAAAAATACAATACTGATTTAAAATCTGTGCAGAAGAAAATTCTAGGATTATTTTAAGCAGAGATATTGGTTTAGGTATTTAGGCAATTTTAGCACTTTGAAAGTATCATACAGTATAACAAAATAGCATTAGCGTTACATGTATACTAAATAAACAAAACACAGAATAATGAAAAAGAATTAAAATAAACACATAATCAGATGGAGCATAAAACAAGGTAAAACTTTATTTAGATGAGGATTCTACTGTAATTATTAAACAAGATATGAATGTATTAAGAATTACACATTTTAAAGCTGGTAGATTTACCGCTGAATTGAACGAAGAAGTCTATGTCATATTATCAAAATTTGAGATTACACAGTTAGAGGCTATTGAAGTTTTTAGGAGGTAGATTATAAGAACCCTACCTTAATCTTCTTTAGATGGGATTCCTGCGATGATTATATTCCAAGATATTGATTTTTTAAACTTTTAAGCACTTTGTGGCACTGCTGGAAATCACTAGATTCTTATGCCTACTACGATAACCACGTGGTGGCTCCGCGGCACCCTTCCGTCGCAGTGTCGACTTAGTAGGTTGGCACGCTCACCGTAAAATGCTGCTGCTGCCTGTTTTCCCTTGTTGATGGCGCAAAAACACTAGTAACTCAACTATTCAAATCGCACACACACATTGAGGTATCCAAAGTACAGGGATACTTCGAGCACTATTTGTAAGAATATTCGTAGGATTAAAATTGCTGAGAAAAAAACTCGCTTTTCGGGAGCACACCAAAAGCGTCCTGCCTCAATTCCGTTTCCCCTCGGTCCGTCTCCCTGCCGCAGAATAAAACATTGATGTGCCTCGTTCAGAAAAATGTTTTGATGAAAATATCACATTTGCGCATACAATTTGCGTATCATCACATTTTGCGCATACAAAACAATTATTATAAATTTATTTTTTACTTTTTAAAATGCTTTTTATTTACTGCTAGTATAATTTTTTATAACTGCGTATAAACTGAATTATAAATTCCTTTTATTAATCCAATTAGAAATAATTTTCATTATTTCTATTATTATTTTGTGATGCATTAGGTTTTTTAAAACAATTGTGTGGTTAGCATGTGCAAAATTTGATGATTTACGTTCATCAAATAATTTTTCAGCAATTGGACCAATTTTTATTTATTTTTTTTTTTTTGTGATACACCAAAAAGGGTTTAATATAAAATGGGTTTTTCTTGTACGTTTATACAGAACATGTGATAATTATTCAGGAAATAAGCAGATCTACCTTTCTAGCGCTTAAAATGTTATAAAACATAAATCTGACTTCCTTACTATACTTCCTTAAGTAGTTAGCAAAACCCTGTTTCTTTACTACTCTGCTTTAACGACTTCCTTAACTAGTAAGCAAATTAACGTGGTAAAAGATTAAAATTACTGAAATTTACGAAAACTAATTGTATGTATAAAACTAGAAATTATAAAAAAAATCTGAAATCGCAGTTAAACCATAAAATTCAATTCAACATCAATATCGCAGAATAATTTAAAAAGAGCATATCTTTAGACTTTCTGATACACAGTCTCGCGCGCTGGAGGGTTTTTTTTTTTTTTTTTTTTTTGTACAGTGTTGCTATTGTTCGCTTTGAAATCGTTGAGCTTGTTAATCAAAAATTCGTTAAAGTTTCACAAAATAGGAAATAGATAATAAACCAAATTTGGGCTTCCAGATGCCCGTATTCGAGTGAAGGACTACGTTATGCAAAATTTGATATCTCTAGGTATCGTTGTTTTTTCACAGTGCGAGAAACATACGTACGTACATGCAGATTCTTCATTATTCAATACCCTTATATAATATAGGACTCTAATATTTGGTGGCAACGATGTGAAAAGTGAAACGCCGTTTATAGTGAACCAACGCAAAATACCAAAACGAAATTAATAGCCCTTCTGGGCAAATTGGCCCTTTGGGCTA